GCTATATTAAAGGTTTCACAACAACAGGAAAAGAAAAACGTGGCTCATCAATTCTTGATGACAGAAAGTATATGTTTTAATAGGGCTCAATCAATATTTACTGCTTTCAGTGGCACTTAACAGATGTGTCAAATGAGAGTCAAGCTGTTTAGCTGGATAAAACTGCAGGATAGGAGAATTAAGTTAATACAGGCAAAAACTTTTACAAAATATATCTCCACGTACAGTAGTTAAAATGCAGTAATTCTGGAAAAGAAGACAGTTCTTAAATAAAAATGCAGTTCTGAAGAAGCAACTGCTAAGAGATGCCTCCAAAGATATCTCACGGTCAAGTCTTTGGAGAATGACATGGAAAGAAGAGTAGATGTTTCAAGGAATATCCTCCTACACTTCTCAGCATCTTCTCTTCAAATATGTCAAACCATGCCAGGAATAGTTCTTCAGTAGAGAGGCAAGATATTGAATCCTTTTAGGAACAGCCTCGTTATTTTTGTGACATAGTTTGCTAGAGTTTTCTTCTTTTTGATTTTCAAATCTTACTGTATACAATTGGTTCACATTCAATAATTTCAGATACCCTGTGCTCATTAATATATTTTACTATAGACAGACTCTCACATAAATTGAACTTATGAACTGTAAACAGCAAATAAGGGATGAAGGTAACCGGAACAGAAACCAGATTTCTGAAGAGAAATATTTCTTCAAAAACATAACAAGAAAAACATTCTGATTTTATAACTGAACACATCATGAATAACATTGAGGAAGAAAAAATGATCTTCAAAAATCTGTAAAATTAGGTCTGAAGTAATCTAAAAACTTCATTAGCGGTAATCCTACTAAACATCATTCAGTGTCATATCGAGATACAGATAGGGCATATCTGAGATGAAAAGGATTTGTTATAAATCCTAAAGTGCTTCAGTATACTTTCTCCTGTTGATGCAGTAATGACAGTTCTGATGGTCCAAACTACAGGATACTCGTTGGCACTGGAAAACAGCAAGTGCTAAAGTGTCTTTACCATTTGTAAAAAGAAGAAGAGGGACACAGGAAATCACATATGAAGAATCAATCAAAGATTAACATAGATCTCTGAATTCAAATAAAATGACCAAGATGAAAACCTTATGAAGACTTCTGAAGAAGAAACCCAGTTGATAATACGTGCAAGAAATAAGGGCATGAGCAAAACTGTGACAAGTGGGTTGATAGAGTAAGATTGGACTTCCACAATGCTTTCAGAACAGGTGAGGTTTTGGATAAGCTTGCAGAACAGCCTGATCTTTAAAAGCTTTGTCAGAATGCCAACACGATCACCCACTGAAAAACAACTTTCCAGGATACGGTACAAAAGACACCGGGAACAAAACTGTTCCAAAAAGATTTTCATTAATTTAGCCAGAACAAAGTTAATAATCCTGGATGTAAATGTTTCTTTCTTTACTAATGCTAAAATTGCTAAATTCTCTCCTAAACATCTTACAGCTAGAGGCTGGCAGAATTTAGCTTATTCGTCTTCAAAGTCGTTAAATAAATAATTAACTAACAATAGCTGGTAAGTAACCTTGACAACAAAGAATTATTAATTTCAAATTGCCCAAGGGAGAATGAGCCAGGGATTTTCAAACTGTGGTGTTAATCAAACTACTTCAAAGCAACACAAGGACTCAGTGCTGGCAGGCAGTCACTGCCTCTGGTGGATTCACGCAGTCTGACACAGAGCTAGGAGCTACCGCTGCCTTTGGCAACACGGGTAATTTAGTGATGTACTTCTGCACAGCAAAAGGTCAAAACTATTTTTTAAGCAAGAAAAAGGGAAACAGAGGATTGAAAGTACCTGAATTACAGAACCAATAATAATTAATTCATTAACTCAGTCATACTGAGAAATGAATATAAGCTCTATTCCCAACAAGATGTTACATAACACGTTTAGACAATGTCTAATAAAAATGCAGATACAGAATGCTTCAGACATAATTGCACGTGCTTAGAGCATCCTATATTCAATTTGTAGAAACTTAAAGGTAACATAAGATATACTGAGGGCAGTTTATCTGAGAAAGTGGTAATAGTATACAGTGCCCTTCAGTGTTCATGATATTACATTTCAGCACGACTGGACAAGAAAATTATAGAATCAAGTTCCACAAAGCTAACTATACACCTCTGCACCTCTTTCTTCTTTCTAAGAATTAATGGGCAAAGAATAACATTACTTTTCCATTCTCTTAATGATTGTTTCTAAGGTAGCATAGTATTTCTGAAAGACAAGAAATCACAATGCTGAAGATGCGTTACTTCTCAAAACCCACATTTGTGAACTAGTAGGAAGAGTATTTAGATTCCTAAGGGGTCTTTTGTCAGTGAACTTGTGTAATAGGCTGTGAGGCTATTCAAGCCAGCAAACCAATTACTGGTTTAGCAAATAACTTCCTCAGAGAAGTCTCTCAGAGCTCTTAGGATGAGTCTCTGAATTACATCATGCATAAGCTAGCTTAGTCAGAAATACTCAAAATCCTGCTGTAAGGTAAGACTGTTCCCCAATAAGTGATTTTTGGTGCAGGTTACATTATTTTTTTCAGCATAATGGAAATAGTTTTGATCCTCTGAAATGACTGACCTTTGCTCTCCTTACAGCATTTCTCAAAATTGCTATCAAACATCAAAAGTCTCTTTTCTTTCCATGAAAAGACAGGCATAGACTTTCCCCAGTGCAGAAAGAGCAGACCAGTGCTCAGAGATATGATTTATGCAGCTGGGATTTCCCAAACTTTGCCATCAAACCCATTGTGACAGAATCTGAGTCAGGCAGAGGCTCTTTTTGAGGAGAAAATGCCCACACACCTTCTCTTGAAGGATTTCAATCTCTGCAGCTACAACTTGTTAAAGAGCACAAACAAGTAAAACAAACACCTCCATTTCCTGTTCCTTTGAAAATCTTCCCCCCCTTTACAATTCTCTTTTGGGAATTTTCCTACTTCTCCTGGCTTCCCATATGTCTCACATTTTACCTGCTGAAGCTCTGCTAAGCCAAAACAAGTTACCCACTAGCAAGGACACCCTTTCTGAGCAGGTTGCAGCAGCCCAGAAAGCAGGCAGCCCCTTCCCCACAGCCTTACCAAGCCCTAAATTGACTCACTCACACACAATACCTATGCTTCTTGACTCATAGACTTGACCTCTGCATACTTACACCATCCCAGGTTAAAATTACATTTGCAATAGAAAGTGTGTTACCAAGCTTACATGCTCAGTCTGACAAAAGTTTTCTGTTTTATACAGCAGCTTGTACTATACTATACAGGAGATTCTTAAACTGTCTAAAATAAACCAGAAATGCGTAGAGTGCCACTGAAAGCCCAAGATCTGTGCTTCAAAATTATTGCACTATGACTGGAAATACCAATTGAAACTGTTTAAGCTTAAATTACTGCAAGAAAAATTCTGATATCTGGGATAAATTTTGAGATTTTGCCTATGCCAGAGTAAAATCATAGCAGCATCTTTCAGGGGTCTGTACTGAGATTGATGCTCTTTAATAATCTATAGTGGGATTGAGTGCACCGTCAGCAAGTTTGTGGATAACAGCAATCTGAGTGGTGCTGCTGATGTGCCTGAGGTTGCCATCCAGAGAGACCTAGATGGACTTGAACAGGGGCTCAGGAGAATCTCATGAAGTTGAATAAATCCAAGTGTAAGGTCTTGCACTTGAGTTGTAGCAACTCCCATTTATCAATACAAGTGGGTGGAAAAGCTGTATTGAGCACAGCCCAGCCAGAAAGAACCTGGGAGTATTGGTGGATGAAAGCTGAACATGAGCCAGCAATGTGCCATTGCAGCCCGGAAAGCCAATCATGTCCTGGGCTGCACCAAAAGAAGCACTGTCAGCAGATCAGGAGAGGTGATCCTGCCCCTCTGTGCCAGTGAGACCTCATCTGAAGTACTGTGTTCAGAAATGGAGTCCTCAGAACAGGAGTTGTGGACCTGTTGGACTGCATCTAGAGGACGGCCACAAAAATGATCCAAGGGATGGAACATCTCTCTATGAAGAGAGGTTGAGAGCTGGGGCTGTTCAGCCTGGAGGAGAGAGAGGCTCCAGGGAGACCCAATATCTAAGAGGGTGCTATAAGAAAGAAGGGGGCAGACTCTTTAGCAGGGTCTGTTGTGACAGGACAAGGAAAAATGGTTTCAAACTAAAAGAGAGAAGACATAGAAAATATATATGAAAAAAAGTTTTTTTACAATAAGGGTAGTGAAACACTGGAACAAAGTTGCCCAGAGAGGCAGAGGTGCCACCACTGGAGACACTCAAGGTGAGGCTGTACAGGGATTTGAGAAATCTGATCAAGCTGTAGATGTCCCTGTTTATTGCAGGGGAGTTGGACTAGAAGACCTTTAATGGTCCTTTCAACTCAATCAATTCTGTTCTATGAAATCTGTTATCAAAATCTGGAACTCAAACCAGTAGTGCATATTTCATATGCTCTAACAATTATCGGCTGCTGGAGACTTCTGAGACTATTGAAATGGGACAGATTGAATACATCAACTGCACTCAGTCCATTTAACTAAATATGAAACACTCCACAGCCCAATACATATCAGAGTTCCGTTATGCTCCAAGATTAATACTTTTATATCAGATACCTGAGGATTAATATAATAAAAAAATAGTAATGCCAAAAAGCTATAATGACACAGGTTGTTGTTTTTTTCTTCACGGGGAAAAAGATTCATAAAAGGATGGCATACCCAAAATCATCTTTGAGTTAGAACAACTGATTTTTAGTACCATGGACATAACATTGTATCTAAAACACTTGGTCCTGCAAAAATGAAATAAAGCCTTAAATCAGGAATAACTGAGCAAAAACTACATGCACGGGTTTATCTGTACTCATTTTATTCTTCCTCTGAGGTAATTCAGTCACAGAAAACTATCTCATATTAAATTCCTAAAAAGGACTTTTCTGCTGGATGTAGCTACTGACCTGCAGCATCTGAAGATAGCCTTCTTGTGGATCACAGAGCAGTGATGATATTCGGTGATTGTTCCTCATGCACCTCTGATTATTGTCCTTTGAGAGAGGGAAAATCTGCCGGATAACTGTCATCCTCCCAAGAGCACTATGTACCAACTCTAATATTTCATTATCAGTGATTTCCTGTAAATGGAGACACAGTATTTTAGAAACAGACTTGTCCAGACATTTTAATTTGTATCTATAATTGTTTGAAAAATGTTTTTAAACAAAGGGAGAATCAAAAGTTACAGATGCACATGTTTTGTCTAGAACAGAAGTTCTTCTTTTATGTTTAATAACAGCATTTTTTAATGTGCTATCTGAAATAAAGAAAACAGCTTAACATAGCACCATCTATTCTGGCAATATTATCATATTGTGAAAGTAGTTCCTGATAGGAAAAAGCCCAAAAATAGCCTCAATAGATCTCAAAGTAAAGAACAAGAAATGAAATATTTACAGATAGAATAGAACATCACTACAGCCTCAAAACAAAACAACAAATACAAAATGTAACCACCTATAGGAAATACAGCCCCCACCTCTGAGAACAACGTTGTGAGAACATTTTTCCCATAAGAACATTAAATTATTTCTTCAAACTAATCCTTATAATAATGACTCAATCAAGTCTTTTGAAGTAATCGATATTACAAAATCAGAAAGCAGGGAAGCTTCATGGAAGGGATGGATACATTCAAGAATGTAAATTACTGCACAGAGAATAATTTACAGTAAGATATGAAGAAAATTCATGATAAGGGACAGATACTGCATCTACTGCCCTTATGTTCCAACTGATGCCAACTCAACTATACGCTCTATGTATTCTGTACCTAAACAAATAAAAACCTCTTTTCTTACCCTTGAAACAAATCACTTGAAAATTATGAGTTTATCTGATCCTGAAATCATAACAGTAGCGCAGCTTGTGATGGCTATCAGCTGCCATGGAGATTCCTTCCCCACAGGGAATGTGGCAACACTGTCTGCATTCCTCCCTTCAGGCACATCCATCACAGAGAATGGCTTTACAGCCGAGCTCCCTACCACTGCCACCAGCAGCCTTACACATCACATCTCCAACATCAGCTGGCTGTGCAACCTGCACAGCTGGGCCAACTCATGGCCAAGGTCACAGGGCTGCTCTCAGTACCTCAGAGTAAAGAACAGCCAGCAATTCATATCAATGGACTTGCCCTGTTTTGACACCAAGGCCTACATCTAGCAATGTGCCATCAGGGGAAGTGAAGCTGATGCTGTATTCTCAACATTCAAGAAAAATTATTTTTATCTGTAATGCTGAGAGTGAAATGACTATGGGGTTATTGTAATTACTTGTAATGGCTGACTAGTACTGTAGCTTTGGCTCAGTTCTTCTTTGTTGATTTCCCATCATTTTTTAGGAATGCAAATTTTTAACTATGTAGAAGGTGAAATTCTTTGCATTAATGACAGACCAACTGGTGTGAAGTAAATACAGAAAATATACACTAACAGAAGTCAAAAGTTTCTGATACTCCATAACCCTGTAGAAGATCACCACAGAATTGTCTTGAGCTCTACAGAGTCCCTCCAGAAAGTATCTCTGGATTATTTTTCTCTGGTGCTGAGGGTGTCAATGCCACACACGTGTCTAAGCTTCTGCTACTGTGGTCTAAGGGAGCACCAGCTTTATGGAATACCTTTAACTCATCACTCTCTAGAGGCTGCATCCCTACAGACTGAATGACTGGAAACAGAAGATATCTTTTGAAAAAAGATAATAATCCGTAAGTTTAATTCAACTCATGCCACCTGTATTTTGCATTCTACACGTCATGAATATTTGTTATTTTTTAAGACATTCCATAACCTGCATCAAAATGCTTAACACAGAGCAGGTTGGTTCTCCTAAGTACATTAATCCGCGTTGTTCATACTCAGCTATGTGCATCAAGTGAATCCTGAACAAAAGAGCCTAGTCACTCTAAGAGACCCAGAACATAACTGGGCTAAATCTGACTCTCAGAGTGCTACCTTTTCCTGTGTAGACAGCTGGCAGTAGCTAGAGGCTTTAATGCCTTAGTTCTGTATGTAATGCTAGGGCAACAACACTACAGCTGATTACCATTAATACCAGCAAATGATCTGCTCATATTAGAAACCAGGTTCCAGTTTTGAAATTTAAAAGGACAGTAAAAAAAGTTGTTGCAGAACAAAAGGCTCTGTGCATGACCGCATTTCAGAGCTAGTGCTCTAAAAACTAAGGGTAACTATGAACCTCTCCAAACTGTACACACGATCCCCAGTAGACTGCAAGCAGTGTGGTACAGGGCATCTTAGGCAGTTCCTGGAGCAGAATAGTGGTGTGTGTGTGTGTGAACTGTGGAAGGCAACAGGAGATGCCATCCTGCTCAGCAGCAGATGCATTTCCCTTGGACTGGTGTCATGGCCACAGGCCTCCCCGTCATGTGGTGTTGGCAGACCCTGGGGCTCATTTCTAGAAAAACTCTGATTCTGGCTTAGCAGCATGTAAAGCTTTAAAGGTCACCTGTGCTCTGACTGTGATAAATAAGGGGGAAAAAAATAAAAAGCCAAGAAAGGAAATTTATATGTGAAGTTGTCTCTTACATTTATATCCACCAGGATAACAGCATATAATCTGAATATCGTTCTAGGTCTAGGTCTTGGAGTCATAAGGGAAAAAAGCATTTCATACTGATCTTATAATTAAACTCTACTTGTCTAGTTAATTTTTAAAAAATAATCTGCTTTTTTTTCCCCCCTGTATATGACATCACAGATTCATAGAATATCCCAAGTTAGAGTGTACCAGACCACACTGCTCAACCATGTTCAACTTCCATCAATCAGAACCCCCAGATCCTTTTCCATGGGGCTGCTCTCCTGCCTCTCGTTCTCCAGTCTGTACAGATATTAACACAGGGGTGCCCTATCCTAGATGCAAAATCTGAAACTTGCTCTTTTTTAAAAATCACACTAATCGCCCACTTGACAAATTCGTTCTGCAAGGCCTTTCTGCCCTTGAGGAACTAACAGTTCCTCTCAATTCAATGTCATTTATTTAGTATACCTTGAGTACTTCATCCAAGCTGTTGACAAAAACATTAAAGAGATTTGGCCCTCTAAAATGAAGCCCTGCAGAATCCCACTGGAGTCTGGAGAGTCTGGCAACCAGTTTGACGTAACCCCATTCACAATAATCCTTTGAGCTCAACCCTTCAGCCAACTGTTCACTCCCTGCATTATGATTTTGCTTTGCTACATGCTGGATGTTTTGTCTAGATTGATATTGTGAGAAACAGTATTGAAAGCTTTGCTGAAACACAAACAGACTGCAACTAGCTACTGGCTTCCCTTGAACAACTAGGGACTCAAATTTTCTGTGACAACTGAGCAAGCCATTTAATTCAGTCCTAAACCTTTATAAGCAACTATGCCCCGAATTTCCAATCTTGATCATGGATCATTACACATCACAAGACAGCACACTAATTACCTTTCATACCACGTGTGGACACTGCATTCTAAATGGATCTTATTGATCGGTTTGCAAGATCTCCTTACAAAATCCCATACTAAGTGCCCACTTTCTGGCTTTCATGATCCCATGATGTTACTGACTGTTACTGAAATTAATATAGATTATGGTTTTTGCTTGCTTCAGGGGTATGCTTTAAGGAAAGGAGCCTAACTATTGCCTAGCACCTCAAATAGCAAGTTGCAGACAAACCTATAAGTATTGAATTTCTTGAATCAGGATGGAAAGAGAGCACTTTTCTGAAAAATAAAGGATGTTCTTGTATATATGTGCCCTTATGCTGGATTTTTTCTTCACTAAGGGACAGAATGTGGGTAGTCTAAATAATTCAGGTAGCACTTAAATATTTTGGTAAGTAAGCATCAGTATAAATCTGACTATTACTCCAGGCTATTAGTAGTTCTCAACATCCAACTCAGCACTGAAGAAGTATTCCTACAAACAGTTTTCTGTTCTTGTGGTACATTAATGACAGAGATCATTCTTCAAGAATTTGTGGCATTCATTTATCTATTTATTTATCTGCACATTAAGAGCTTGAGTTAGATTGTAATACCTAGCCACATTGCTCAGGGGAATATTTAAATTTGCTCTAGTTGTGCCCAACTATCATAACACAAATTGCAAAATGAGACAATTATGTTTCACATTATAATCTCTATTTTCCTAGAGGTAATAACAGAATATTATAAATTTTAATGACATTAATAATTTAAAGAATCAAAAGAGATACCAGAAAGAAGATCCCTAAGAAAGCTGGAGGATAAAACTGAATGGTGATGAGGACAAAGATGCTCACAGAGACAAGCTACAGATATGTGCCTTTGTAGTATGATCAATCCTCCTCCCAATGCACTACATGTATCTATAAATGGACACTTGTTCATACATTGCAAATCTAGAAAATATCTTCACAATAAGCTGGTTTTAAAACATTTCTGAAATTTTACTCTATAGACAGATTTATGAAACCTTAACATTATGTTGGCTTCCCTGCATCTCACATGGACACACACACGCACACGTTAATCCTTTAAGGAAGGATGTCATAGAAAACATTCTAATAGAAGTCTAATGACCACCTGTTCAATTTCCATCTTTGCTCTTCTCCCACAACCTCTTCCTTTTACCTGATGCCGATAAAATTTCATACAGGTCTATTTCTATTTTCAAAGACGCCACAGAGAGCGTCCAGAATTCTTTCTCAGATTATAATGAGTGCCTATACAGTAAAAGCATGAAAAATGACAGTTAACCAAAACTGATCAAAAACAAACAAACAACTTGCCACTGATTTTAAAGCAGATTTCACTGATGAGAACTCACAATGACATACTCATCTAATCTTGCTCCTTGACTGTTTCAATGTAGTTCAACAGCATCTGAATTAGGTCAATTCTGATCCTTAAAAGTTACTTAGAGCAGAATGCAGGTGCATATGAAATCCAGTTTCAAACACACACATACATGTAAAAAAAATGCTAAATATGCAGTTTTTTCTATAGTGTCAAACACAGTATTCAAAAAGAGAGAATAAAGATTTCTGTCGGCAAGTTACAAATATAGATTTACCTGGAATAAAATTGGAATAAATTTA